GATGTCGATGAGTTGATAGCTCAAGTATTTAGAGCTTCCAATTTTCAAAAAAATATATTAGGCTACCCACATATTGTGGTTTTTCCTAGAATGTTCAATAACGTAACAAATAGGACAAATATAACATTTATGTGATGATAGACTAACACATTTAATTCAATATTAATTAAGTGTTGAGTGATATGTTTTTGATGAAACTTGTATACTTTTACTTTATTTACCTAGAAAATTAAAACATTTTAATTATCTCACAATATTATTTGCATCATAATAAATCAGCTACATAGGGTGTTTAAAACTCCCTTCGAGTATTTTTTAGGTTTTATTATTGGTCCAAAATTCTTTTTGGTGCATCCGGATAGGTTGCTTATGCCAATTCCCCCAAAACTTCACTAAAACACTTTTAATTTTCTTGAGGTTGTACTGTAATTAAACGTGGTTAACTCCATTCTCATATTAAAAAAAAAACCTCACTTTGTCCAATTTAAATTGAGGAAATAGATGTAGTCAAGGACCTGACTAGGGTTCTGTGTGCATGTCGTGTATAGAGAATTTTGCTTTTGCATTTCAATATAGATGTCTTAGGAAGTGTTTTCCACTCGGGTGTCAAGTTCGCACCTGGTACGTTTTCGAGCTATGACGTCATCAAAATGGCGGCCATTGATTTTTTTAAATCGTATATTTCGCAAACTATTTGTCGGATCGGAATGAACTTTTTTTTGTTTGAAAGATAATTTTAAATGCTACCTGTTTTACATTTACACATTTGTTGTATGTTTAGTACATTCTTCGTAATTTTGCAAAAACCTGTATTTTTAAATATTTTTGAGTTATTTTTGTTTGTAACGTTTTATTGATACAATTTATCAAAAACCACCAATGAAAAAAGTTGTAGAACATTTAAAAATCTTTACAAAAATACCAAATTCGATATGTTTTACTCAAAAGATTACGTCAAGAAACTAAATAAATCTCATAAAAACACCAATTTTGGCGCAAAAACGCCCATTAGTCCGGCATCTAGGGCAGTTCGCAAGTCTTATAAAGACAGTTTCACCATTCAATGTTGATGTATGTGTCTAAATAAGTGTTTTCAACTCGGGTGTCACGTCTGCACCCACTGCAGTTTCCGGTTATGACGTCATTAAAATGGCGGAAAGGGCTATATTAAAAATAACTATATATTACATACCATGTATCGGATCGGAATGAACTTTTTTTTGTTTGAAAGATAAGTTTACATTCTATCTTTCTTACATTTGCACTTTTGTTTTACGTTTAGTACATTTTTTGTAATTTTGCAAAACCCTATATTTTTTAACATTTTTGTGTTATTTTTGTCGATAACGTTTTATTGATACAATATATATGAAATAACTTAAAGGCAAAGTTGTAGCACGTTAAAAGAGCTTTACAAAAATACCAAATTCGATATGCTTTACTCAAAAGATCACGTCAAGAAACTAGAAAATCGTACAAAACAACCTAATTTTGCGCAAAAACGCATATAAATCCGACATCGATGGCTGTGTACGAGTCATATATAGACAGTTTTACCATTCAATGTTGATGTATGTGTCTAAAGAAGTGTTTTTAACTCGGGTGTCACGTCTGGACCCACTGCAGTTTCCGGTTATGATGTCTTTAAAATTGCTACATGTTACGATTTCACCAGCTATTTTACTTAAAATAAGACCATTACCCTCTTTTATGCAAATAAAAGCACAACAAATCAATGTAATTAGTCCATAGGAATGTTTCCACTATATAAATACCCCCGGTGCAGCGTTGTCGACTAAGCGAATTTCCATTTGCTTGGATTGATTTGCAATTAATCTATTAAATTAACATTAAATTTAATAGATTAATTGAAAATCACCATCACCGCCATTTTAATGACGTCATAACCAGAAACTGCAGTGGGTGCAGACGTGACACCCGAGTTGAAAACACTTATTTAGACACATACATCAACATTGAATGGTGAAACTGTCTTTATAAGACTTGCGAACTGCCCTAGATGCCGGACTAATAGGCGTTTTTGCGCCAAAATTGGTGTTTTTATGAGATTTATCTAGTTTCTTGACGTAAACTTTTGAGTAAAACATATCGAATTTGGTATTTTTGTAAAGATTTTTAAATGTTCTACAACTTTTTTCATTGGTGGTTTTTGATCAATTGTATCAATAAAACGTTACAAACAAAAATAACTCAAAAATATTTAAAAATACAGGTTTTTGCAAAATTACGAAGAATGTACTAAACATACAACAAATGTGTAAATGTAAAACAGGTAGCATTTAAAATTATCTTTCAAACAAAAAAAAGTTCATTCCGATCCGACAAATAGTTTGCGAAATATACGATTTAAAAAAATCAATGGCCGCCATTTTGATGACGTCATAGCTCGAAAACGTACCAGGTGCGAACTTGACACCCGAGTGGAAAACACTTCCTAAGACATCTATATTGAAATGCAAAAACAAAATTCTATATACACGACATGCACACAGAACCCTAGTCAGGTCCTGGACTAATGGTAGTATTCCCCAAACCTACCTCTTCCACGGTTAATTGCATGAACACCTACTTTCCTTCTACAAATTTTTTATTCTACATTTTCAATCAAAAATAACTCTTCATCACTTGAGAAAGATATTGTCTCAACCAGAGCCCAGATCTGGAGACTACACTCCTGAGCTTGAAATGCAAGCGTTTGTTGTGAACACACAACAGCATTCTCAAGCGCTTGGAACAAGCGCTGAAAGTAAGTTACTTGTAACCAGCTTTCTTTGTGAACGCACCCTTAGTGTCAAGGCCTGTTTGATGCTCAGATAGATCCTATATAAAATACTTTGCAACTGCCAAGCTATCTTTAGTTTTTTAACGCAGAAAACATTCTGACAATGTTTTAATTTACTAGTCCCAATTAACATTTTGTCTGCTTACACTTTGGTAGGTATTATAATCTACTAACTGGCCCGACAGACGTCGTCCTGTCCTAATGTGGTTTTATGTCAAATGCTCATACATTTTCAAGATGAGCTCGTTCGCATGGCTCAATCACGTCCTGGTTGAAGTTCGTTCGCTACGCTCACTCACCTTTTAGTTGCAAATTAGCTGTTGTCATAAATTGAAAAAAAAATAGTGCTGCACCCTGTCGGTAAATCTATTAACTTTTTAATGCATCACAGAATCAAATTGTTTAGTTGAACCAGCTGTGAAGATTCTTTAATTAATTCCATTTAAATATGAGTACTCATAAGGTTAACATGGGAAACTCCAGAGCCACTGGGCGGAGCCCTTTTGACGGATCTGCACCAAACTTCACACAAACCATCCATGAATAATGCTTAATAATGCATAAAAGTTTCATTACAATCTGTCGAGCGGTTTCGGAGTCCATAAAGGACAAACAAACAAACAAACATACATTGGATTTTATATATATAGACTAGCTGGCCCGACAGACGCGTCCTGTCCTAATGTGGTTTTATGTCAATGCTCGTTCATTTTCAAGATGAGCTTGTTTGCATGGCTCAATCACATCCAGGTTGAAGTTTGTTCGCTACGCTTACTCACCTTTAGGTTAGAGCTCGTTCGCTACGCTAACTCGCCTCCAGGTTGAAGTTCATTCGCTACGCTCACTCACCTTTTGGTTGCAAATTAGCTGTTGTTATAAATTTAAAAAAATAATAGTGCTGCACGCTGCTGGTAAACCTATTAACTTTTTAATGCTATTGAACGTCACAGAATCAAATTGTTTAGTTGAACCAGCTGTTAAGATTTTTTAATTCAATTTAAATATGAGTACTCATAAGGTTAACATGGGAAACTCCAGAGCCACTGGGGCGGAGCCCTTTTGACAGATCTGCACCAAACTTCACACAAACCATCCTTGAATAATGCTTAATAATGCATAAAAGTTTCATTACAATCTGTTGAGCAGTTTCGGAGTCCATAAAGGACAAACAAACAAATATACATTGGATTTTATACATATGGATTACTAGCTGGCCTGACAGACGTCGTCCTGTCCTATTGTGGTTTTATGTCACATCTTCTTCTTCTTCCCATGGCCATTTATGCCCAAGGCGGGATTTGGCCGCACCAACAAGTTGCACCAGCTGTTAAGATTCTTTAATTCCATTTAAATATGAGTACTCATAAGGTTAACATGGGAAACTCCAGAGCCACTAGGGCGGAGCCCTATTGACGGATCTGCACCAAACTTCACACAAACCATCCTTGAATAATGCTTAATAATGCCTGAAAGTTTCATTACAATCTGTCGAGCGGTTTTGGAGTCCATAAAGGACAAACATACAAATATACAAACATACAAATATACATTGGATTTTATATACAGGGTGTCCCAGAACTCTCTACCAATATTTTAGGGCATTGTTCCTGGGTAAGAAACATACCTAAATATCATATTTAAATTGTCCGGAAGTCCTTAGTTACTCACACAGCCGCCATTTTGTTTTTTTCTGTTATTAATTTTTTTTCTAAAGAACGGTTAAACATATGAAATTGAAACTTTGCAGAAAACATTTATGACAACTAGACAAAGCTACAAAAAAATTATGACGATTTTTCAAATTCATAAAACAAAATGGCGGCCATTTAACATTTTTATAAAATCAACGGTTTTTGAGTTATTTAAGAAACAAAATTTTAAATGGCCGCCATTTTGTTTTATGAATATGAAAAATCGTCATAATTTTTTTGTAGCTTTGTCTAATTGTCATAAATGTTTGTGCAAAGTTTCAATTTCATATGTTTAACCGTTCTTTAGAAAAAAATTAATAACTGAATAAAACAAAATGGCGGCTGTGTGAGTAACTAAGGACTTCCGGACAATTTAAATATGATATTTAGGTATGTTTCTTACCCAGGAACAATGCCCTAAAATATTGGTAGAGAGTTCCGGGACACCCTGTATATAGATCACTTAAGGAGCTTGGAAAGCAATTAGTGATGAGTAAAGCCCACAGTTTAAATTCTTTCAAGTTTGTTTTTATTGAAAATTATTGTGATGCATTTTTTTGTTTTTTAAGTAAGATATAAAAAATACTGTCTGTTGGGGAAAAACTTGGGTACTAACCTATCCAATAAGTATATCTAAACATGAAGTACTAATTTAAACACACAACTCAAATATTTTAGGGCTAATTGTTATTTCATAAACTGACAATATTTTTTTATCTGTACGCAAAAAGGAGATTTTTGTTAGTTTCAGCTGTGCAAAATAATTTGATATAGTTGTATCAGTTGATCTAGGGGAACTCAGTCTTTTAAGGAGATTTATTTGTAAATGTCATCTTCCTATCGATCTTTTTCTTTTAGTTTCATCTTTGGTTATGTTTTTCCCCAAAAATGTTAAAATATATTTACTGTGGAAATCAGGAGCATATTCAACGACATTCCTAAAATGTGATATACTGCAGCAGTAGACGTATCCTTTGTGGCCACTGTTTGTTTCAAAAGGCTGAGTCCAGCCGTGAGCGTAACAAACGTCTTTACAAACGTACTTGGGTGATCGGCGAAGGAATGGATTGTTACTTATTATAAACACTATCCCAGCACTTGTTAAAGGGTTGTAAACCATTTTCCAAAAGAAATTTGGCACTGGCAACTTTTTATTTTCTGGATCCATAAATATATTCTTGTATGTTCCATTGGCATCTAAGAGCTTTAATATTCCATATGTGCCAGTTGTAACGATGAAATCAATCTTTTCCTGGAAAAAATATCATATATTTCATTTTCAAGTTGATATTCTTTGTGAACTGAAAATAATTCATAAATTTGTGTAATACTGAAAAGTGGATGGATATAATAATTAAATTATACTTTCAAATTCATAAATAACTTTGTTCAAGCTATATATCTCGTGCATAAATCATATTACAATACACTGGTATATCTTAAATAATATTACAATACAATTGGGAGAGAGAAACCTATTGCCAAAACTGAGTCCCTTAGTCGGTCGACACACGGGAAGACTGAAACCCAACTAAAGTTGAACCAACTGTTTTGTGACGCGATTACGATTGCAGTTACGTTGGTTTAATCCGCACACGGGCACGACTGAAATAATTGTAGTTGAGTTGAGACAGAGTATGAGTTCTAATTTTGTTATAACAATACTGTGTACTGAGTATGGTGTTTGAAATGAGTAGTAGTGATGAAGAAGCCCTGGTGTTTTATAGACTATCAAGAAAGCGTAGAAGACGTAGAAGGTATTGGGTACATCCTTATGTTAAAACAAATATTCAATGTAGGCTCTTTGTAGCTGCTGCTGCATTACAAGAAACAGACGCAAAATTTCAGTCGTTGTACAGGATGTCAAAAAATACTTACGAAGAGCTATCACAGTTGGTATGCCTAATCCTTGAAAAGCGCAATACAAATACTGTATGCGAAAAGTTGTTCAAACCAGGCGACTGAAATCACCTTCCAACCGGCAGGCCCGGTTGCTTACGACTGGTCCTCAACTGGTCGCACCGTGTGCACTGTCCCACCTAACTACATTGGTCAGGACGCAGGCAACTAGTTGCCGATTTCAGTTGAAAAACAGTCTTTCCGTGTGTCAACGGCCTTAGGATTATTTCCCGTTCATATTTGTATTTGATCAACCCTCTGAAAATGTTTAAAGATTGAAATGACTTTTTATCACTGGTATAAAAAGAGTGATTTTAATCTTATTATAAAGATGGTGTTATAAGCAAGTTTCAGGGATTTTAGTGCATAAAACCAAACGTATGGTATAAATAATATAATAAGTTACTATACAAGTTTTAATAACTGAACATTTTTACCAGGATTTAAAATTTGAATGTTTAAAAACACCTGGCTAAATGAGGTAAGGCAGCTGTCACCTGAATGTGGTTTATATAGTTTACCTAACCCGCCATGTTAACTTCCATTCCAAGCGTGATGTATACAACTTCTTTACTTCACGAGTGATGTAAAGTTGAAAAACTCACTCGGAGAGGTAATGAAACCCATTTAAATAAAATTGAGTGACTTAAAAAATATGCCTATATGGAGCCAACAATGTCCAATGCTAGAAATCAGCTGTGCGCTTGAATTTTATTGTTATGCTTTGAAGAATTTTCCTAACCTAGCTTTTGTTTGTAAATGAACGTTACTGTTAAAAGATGAGTGAAATGGATAATGAAAAATATTGTTCGTAACCTCCTGTATATTGTCGGGTCAGGTAAAATCTTGTACGTTACACGTTACGCAAGAGCTTGTTTACATCACATAGGAGAATTATGCAACTCGCTTCCGCTCGCTGCACAACATTCACCTGCGTGATGTAAAAACGCTCTCACTACACTTGTAATGTAAATAGCTATTATTCCATTTTCAAGTAATTTTAGAGCTTTCGTAAGGACGTTTCATAAAAATAATGGTTGTGTTAGTATTTTAAAGTTAATGTAAGCAAATTTGCTAAGGGTGTATAAATTCTTAAACATCATCATTCTTAGACATCATCTTAAACCCTCCTGAATTCCTTCATCACTGATCAATATTATTGTTGTACCTGCTTTGTATTTACATGCAAGTGAGGGCTTAACGTAAAGTAAGGTCTCCAAAAAGCTAGTTCAAATGCAATACTTGCTCTGAGTTCTTTCCTTCCCTCACTATTATTGTGACTTTTCTCTTTAATGAGCCTCTATGACGTAGCCTTTTAGTGTTTAAACAAATTTTAATGAAAAAAAATTTAATGAAAGTAAACAATATTTTGTGTTGGAAAGTAGTAAAAGACAACCAACTGATAGACAGAGAAATTTCATCATTCGCTCTACTTCATGCCATATAAATTATGCTTGGTCAAATAATAGGTTTCAATTTTCAAGTAATAAACATTTAAAAATCTTTTCTTTAAATATAAAACACCCCTCATAGGTTGTTAGTCTCTGTTGAGCTCTTGACTAATGGATGCCCACGGACGGCCTTGTCTTGCCTTCTCCAAACTTAATGTACTTTTGCATGTTTTTTTCTATCAAAGTTCACTTTTCTCCTAAGACATCTCTCATATGGAAATGCAATTTAATATGGGTTAATCTCTCAAGATGCACACATTTAAAAAAAAAAGTAATGCATATTTGGCGAGAGTGACAATTTTCCCATCAATCGTTATCAGCTGCCATAACACTACTAAATGTTGCACAGTTGTCAAGGAAGTAAAATAATTTTAGTTAGATTTGAACTAGCTTACTCCATTGTCTCGAAAGCTGGGAAGCCCTTAATTTACAAACAACCCTCATACGTCACTAAAGATATCTCAGAAGAACTAAACACTAAAAGTTAAAATCAGAACTTTTTAAAAATACTACCCATATATTAATTTAGTAAATAGGAGGAAGATAAAATAATTTAAATTCATATTGTATTGCACAATTTGGATAATGTGAGGGAACGCAATAATGCAGTGTGTAATATAACTCACAATTATTGCAAGAGCTCGTATCTGGTTCTCCACTCGTCTCCAGTTACCACAGTTTATACTCTGCCACTGGGGTGCGGAGTTGACATAGAAGTAAGTTGCAGCTTGCCAAGCTCCCAGAGTAAAGTCACAGTCAGGAGCCAGGTGACCTCTTGACAGGAAAGTTTTGCGGAGAATGTATCTTGCCTTTAGTTCCCCAAGCAACAATGTCAAAATTCGGTCTTGGTTTTGCTGTAACAACATTACAGTAGTTTAAACTAATACAAATAGAGATTATTTCTATCAGTTATTGCTTTAAAAATTGCAATACCTACATAAGAAAAACTAACATTTTGCATGTTCCTTGTCTCAAGTGAGCAATAAACTAAACTGCCCAATTAATTGAGCTTGTTTGATTTACTTTGGGGTTAACCAAAATTGAAATTTCCTTATTATTAACTAGTTTAGAAATTTAATTAGGCAATAGGGAATTCACTTAATCACAATGTCCACTACTTGTACAAACATTAAAGTAGTTGTTTTGGTCCCTACAAACAAATGATAAATTTATGATAACAAGTAAAAAAATTATTTTAAATTTAGTAAGCCAAGATTGTAAGAAAAGTAAAAGAGTACTGATTCTCTAATAAATGTAAGTTTCTCTTAAACAATATGTTGCATTATTGTTTTTAACACGTTTACTGCTGAAAATCTTAACAATGGCGCTCCCAAAACTGCGGGCGGAGCTCCGACGCGTTACTGACTCAGAGATCGCTATTGGCATTGAAATATCTCAGTAAGACGAATCACAAAAGAGCAATGGTGATTGTTCTGCGTTACCCCGAAAGTGGACGTAGTTCACTGAAACACCCCAAGGGAGCAGCACTGCCTGGTTTAATAACCAGAGTCTTTGTAATATGGCTCGAATAGAGAAAATCCCCGAAAACGGGACAAAAGCATTGCCAGACGGGATTTTACGGGAATGTTTAGTACCAACCTGCACCAAAATAAAGCTCGCATTCTAAGCTACAGCCTGACAACAATCACAACGTTCCCAGCCGTGTGCTGGGCTCATACTGACACAATGTTTGGCAGGCGAGCACACTACTGATGTTAGAAGTTGTCAGTTATATAGTTAATGGTATTATATACAGCAAGTGATATAGTTTGAATCAGCTAACAGCTGTTATATATTTTATTCTTTGTACTTTATATTTCCTTGCTAAGATTCAGTTATGATTAAAATGCTTATTGTTGTGAGTTCAATTGTAAATAAAGGTGTTGAAAGTAATAGCTCTCTGTTTTAACGTTTTTAAAGCTTTTACCAATTTAAATAGAATTCAACAAAAATAGAAGTGAATTCCAACATTATTGGCGACTGTGGACACGATTAAAACCAGTGCAAAAATGGATATATCAAAACTAAATCGAAGTAGAGGAGTCATCAGAAGAATCTTCACTAAAACAAGGACTGAACTTGAAGGTATGATTAGTAGTGAAGATCGGGATTTAACTAAGATTGAAGCTTTAATGGATGTTTTAGCTACTCAATATGAATCCATAGCAAAACATATGACTCAGAAGTGTTTGAACTCATGTTGTCAACTGAAGTAAATGACAATGACATGGACAAGGAGATGGAAAGCCAAAAGGACTATTCATTAGCTTTTCAAATAGTTAAGAAATCTGTAGAGAAACTCCTACAGATAAGCCTGGAGGAAGATAAGGTTTCTGTAAGTGGTCAATCACAGCCTTCATCAATTCAGGTAGGCCTAGGTTACCCTATGCATAACAACAGTGGATACAAGCTTCCCTTGATCAAATTCAAAGAGTTTGGGGGCGATCTTAAAGATTGGTTACCATTTTGGGCTCAGTTTTCTAAAATAGATTCTGATGAATCAATAAATCCTAATGACAAAATCCAGTATTTAGTTATGGCAACAATTCCAAACTCTGCAGCCAGAGAAGTGGTTGAAAGTTACCCAGCCACTGGAGAAATGTATCCCAAAGTAATTAAAAGTCTCAAAAGTCGTTTTGGTCGGGATGACTTGCTAACTGAATATTACATTAGGGAAATGTTGAAAATTGTAGTTTACCATGCTTCGTCAACCAAGAAGCTTTCCATTTCTGAATTATATGACAAACTGCAGTGTCATATAAGAAACCTAGAAACACTATAGGGGTGTCCTCAGACACGTGTTCACCTATCCTCTTACCTCTAGTTTCATCTTGTTTGCCAGAAGATGTTTTGAAATTGTGGGAGAGATCTAGTTCTAATACATTCAGTAGGCATAAGGACGAGAAAAATACGTCTAAAGACTTGTTAGAAAATCTTCTTAATTTTCTAAAAGGGGAAATTGAAGGGGAGCAAAAGGTTAAGTTAGCTATGTCTGGATTTGGTTTCTCATCGACCTCGCACAAGTAAAGAAAAGAATGACAGTAGGCAAAGTAAGGCAACTCCTCCCTTTGTAAATAAATCAAGTCGGCCTAATACAGCTACTGCTACAGGGCTATTTACTTCTGAAAAATGTGACAAATCAAATAGCCAAGGTTGTATATTTTGTACATTTTCTCACAAAAGTCAAGATTGTATGAAAGCCCAATCAATGCCTTTGTCAGAAAGAAAAGCATCTATAAATAGTAAGAAAGCATGTTTTTGTTGCTTAAAACCTGGACATACTGCAAACAAATGTAGGACTAAGCCTAAGTGTATTGTTTGTAAAAAGTCTCACTTTGTCATCATGTGTGATGAGATTGATCAAATTAAAAAGCAGCCTAATGAATCAAATCCTAGTAGAGAGCTAGCAGAACGTGAAAATGTCAGTGTTCAGCCTAAAAGAGACGAAACACTTGCAAACTTAAATACCCGTAATGTGTTGATGCAAACTTTACGTGTCAATGTAACGGGACCCAAAGGTGTTTACTGTGCAAGAGCTCTGATTGATTCTGCTTCCCAAAGATCTTATGTTTCATCCAGCTTAGCAGCCAAATTAGGTTATGTATCTACCAAAAATGAAAAGATTCAACATTCTCTTTTTGGGGGCAACAGTACAGGAGTAATTAATCATAATTTGTATGTACTACATCTTTCTTCATTAGATGACAAGTATAGATGCCACTTCGAAGTTCTAGACCAGAAGAAGATCTGCGGAAACATCTCACCTGTCATGCAAGGACCCTGGATAGAAGAGTTAGCTATGCAGAACATTACCTTCAGTGATATTGACTCTAATGGTCCTATAGATGTACTAATAGGAGCAGATGTAGCAGGAAACTTATGGACAGGTGGTCACAAGGCTCTGGACTGTAAATTGGTTGCAGTAGAAACAAAGCTCGGATGGACATTGATGGGGAAAATTCCAAACAAGCAGCATAACAAGCAACATGCAACAAGTTTAGTAACTTCTATGCTGACTACAGGTAAAATTAGTGACCTTTGGACTTTAGATACGTTAGGAATTCTAGATCCTTACGAGAAATGTTCAAGACAGGAATTAGAAGCCGAAACACAGAAAACCTTTCTTGAAACAGTAAAAATTACCAAAGAAGGGCGTTTTGAAGTTTGTCTCCCTTGGATGGCAGATCACTCTCCGCTGCCAGACAACTATGATTTAGCTAAGAAAAGACTATCTTCAACAGTGAAAAAACTTAAGAAAGAAGACCTATACGACAAATACCAAGAAGTATTTGTTGGGTGGTTGAATGAAAAGATTATAGAAGAAGTTCCAGCTGAAGAAATGCACCGACCTGCTCATTATCCACCACATCACCCTGTCTTAAAAGTTGGCAGTACTACTCCGATTCGTCCTGTGTTCGATGCCAGTGTGCATGAACATAAAGGTCCTTCTTTAAATCAGTGTTTGGAAAAAGGACCCAATCTTATCGAGAAGATTCCTTCAGTAATGGCTCGATTTCGACTGAAGAAAATTGGTGTAATAGCTGATATTCGCAAGGCATTTTTACAAATTGCTTTGAACCAAGCCAACAGAGACTTTTTGGGATTCTTGTGGACTACGAAGGAAGGACAACTTATAGTTTACAGACATTGTCGAGTTGTTTTTGGAGTTTCCTCGAGCCCTTTTTTATTGGAAGCTTCAATCAGACTACTAATGGAAGAAATACTACTGGAAACTAAGCAAGGCAAACGCCTTTGAAGTTAGTTGAAACCCTAGCTTCCAGCTTTTATGTTGACAACTGTGTGTGCAGCGCAGACAACTGGGAAGAAGCGCAGCAGTTTGTTGAAGTAGCAACCAAGATTATGTACGAGAGAAAGTTTGAACTTCAAGGGTGGGAGCTGACTGCTGACAAGAACTCATTTTCATCGTCTCTACAGAAATCAAACGTTCTAGGTCTGGTCTGGGATAGAGAATCAGATACACTAGAAGTTAATATTGCCAGCCTACAAGATATTGACACTGAAAAGATCACTAAGAGAATTATTTTGAGTACGGCACATCGCATCTTTGACCCAATCGGCTTTACATGCTGTGTTACCTTGATACCAAAGTTACTACTTCAACACACATGGGAAAGAGGCACAAGTTGGGATGAAGAAGTAGATCCAAAGACAAAAGATGGTTTCATGGAGTGATTAAAAGACATCCACTTCCTCAGTGAAATCAAGATACCTAGATGGTTACCCGGTACAAACACCATGACAAATTGGACACTCCACATATTTTCAGACGCCAGCCAGAATTCATACGCTTCAGTCGCTTTTTTGTGTATTGAGTTGGAAGATTATGTCAGGGTACAACTAGTTGCAGCAAAATCTAGGGTAGCACCAGTTACCAAATCGTCTAAGAAGATGACAATCCCTAGACTTGAATTGTTAGCGGCTTCTATATCTGCTAGGTTGTATTCGACCATCGTTGATGACTACAAGTTACATGATGTAGCAACTTATTTCTGGACTGACGCAACAACAGTTTTAGCATGGATTAAACGGGAAGATAATTGGAATGTATTTGTCAACAACCGAGTGTCAGAAATCAAGAGATTAACTTCACAGCATGAATGGAGATTTGTTCCCGGTAACAAGAATCCAGCTGATCTTCCCTCAAGAGGATGCTCTGCTCAGAAACTACTTGAGTCAAAATGGTGGGAGGGCCCAAGCTGGATTACAGCATCTCCAGAAAATTGGCCTTGTCAAGAAGAAACTCAATACAATGAGGATGATATTAACAGCCAAAAGAAAAGAACTGTTATTTCTGCTGTTAACAATGTTACAGGCAAAGAGTGGTTGTACATGTATTGTTTAACATACAAGAAAGCTGTTAGAACAATAGGATGGATTTATCGGTTCAAAAACAATACTCTAATGAAGAACAAGACTATCAAAAACTGTGACTTAACTTTAGAAGAATACACATTGGCAGAAGAAAAATTGATATCAATTGTTCAATCAGAATCCTTTGAAGAATTTGACAGATAAAAAACTCAAGACTTTGATTCCATTTGAAGACAGCAAAGGACTTTTAAGAACCTGTGTCAATCACGAAAGAAACCAGACGAGGAAGACTTATATGTGTTCCGAAGAGATATACAAATTAAACTTGAGATCATTACTTGGAAAAACAATGCAACTTAATAACTTCTCTTTTTAATATCATGAAAAGTTGTTCATTCCAACCCATAGAGAAGTTCATTTCACTTATTAAATGTTCCATGAACTTGGTGGGAGGATGTTAGAAGTTGTCAGTTATATAGTCAATGGTATTATATACAGCAAGTGATGTAGTTTGAATCAGCTAACAGCTGTTATATATTTTATTCTTTGTACTTTATATTTCCTTGCTAAGATTCAGTTATGATTAAAATGCTTATTGTTGTGAGTTCAATTGTAAATAAAGGTGTTGAAAGTAATAGCTCTCTGTTTTAACGTTTTTAAAGCTTTTACCAACTTAAATACAATTCAACAAAAATATAAGTGAATTCCAACAACTGATATAGCAGTAGGCTGCGAGCAGTGCCAGTGCCGCGCTACTGCTATTAGCAGTAGGCCGCAGTCAACGTGTTTAATTGATTGTTTTGTCCTTCTGTGGATGAGTAGCATGGATACTGACTAAATTTAATGTTATGTTCTTGATTTTTATTTGATCTTGTATTCTTTATTTTGTTTGTGCCTAGCAATGTTGAATTCAATTTATTACTGTGAGTGTCCACCAGTTACCAAACCTTTTGATCTTGCGACCCACCTACATCTTGGATTTTTTTTCACGACCCACCTATTCAATAATATTAAACCTTCCAGGGCTTTGGACGGATATATCCGTCAATCTTTGTTTACTTTCCGGGCTAAAAACGGATATATCCGTCCATGAACCAAATCGATATACATTGTTTTCCATCATTAACAGTGTTTAACATCTAAAAGTGTTTAATCATTAACAAGAAGTTGATGCTTTACAATTTTACCAAGCCTACCTGCTAATTTTACGGTGTAGCAGATTTTTGTCCCCCTCGAATTTTACCCCCTGGGCAAAACTGACGTCGCAAACCAGGGGGTAAAATTCTGGCAGAACAATTGCACAACTTTAGTTCGATGGATTAAAGGTGGAACTAAACGTACATTTTTACGGTTGTGAATTTAATCAGAACACGTAAAATTATTAAAACCTAGAGTGTACGGACCGTAATTTTACCCCCTTCATGAGGTCAGCTCAAAATGTATGGCCAGGATTTTTACCCCCGGAATTATACCCCCTGGCTAGATATAGAAATAAGTGCGAATGATTAACAAATCTCTTCTTTCAGTTTCAATTTGATAGAAAACAATTTTATTATTAAGTAGCTTATCTTAATTTATTTGTAACCTTAACTAATCAAACAGGTTTTGAGTTAAAATTTTAATATTAAGTTTCAGGATTTGATTTTTGGGGGCAACTGTTGGTTTATATGTGTATACAAACATTTGCGTTTCCTTGCAGTAGTCAACAACAATTGGTTGAATGCTTTTTACCGGAAACTACATTTTACAACAGGTATTTCGATGACCTTTCTCCAGTGATTACGTGTCTAAATACAATGCTCTCCTAAATTTAAGTCAAATACTGTAAAAAGTATGCATTTAAATAAGATTTGCGTTTTAACAAGATTTTGGAGACGTCGGTTTAACCGGAAAAACCGTTTTCAGGACTGGCCTCGGTCCCGAGGATTCCGGATAAGAGAGAGTCTACTGTATTTTCTGCGATCGCAATATTAGAGTGTTATTCCGTCCAAAGAAATCCAAAAATTATTCAATTCAACATGTAAAAATCAGAAATAACAAATTGATTGACACAATTGAAACCCAATTAGTACCATTTGGACGCTCATATTCGTTTGTTTGTGTAGTGAAAATTAAGGGTCATAAAAACAAAGTTAATGTTTGTTCTCTTACCGCGACCCAACAAAATTGCTCCTGGAAGGTGGGTCACAAGCCTAAGTTTGGCAACCGCTGCCATAGACTCTAAATGGTACCTCAAAAGTAAAATGTTAGGTGCCTAGCTATTGATTAACAATTTGTGTTTGTTTTTTTTCTGTATTAATTTACTACAAATCATTTTGTCAATTGTAGTTTTTGTAACCTACTGTTCTACTTTGTATAGTATGTTGAATGTAGAACGATTTTTAAATACAATTTTCAGACCAATTAAATACTTTGAGTTATTGAATTTCAAACTAAATAAAATTGAGGATTTAATATTTAAAAACTCATTAGGACTAACGGTAAAAACAAAGCCTAAAGACCTTTCTATAAAGTGGCTCAGGATTCACCCCTTCGTACAAGACGTGTGAGCCATGCTGGAAGTAAGGGCGGCCATTACTTGAGCGTTTGGCTCCTGCAAGTATGGAACCATTGAGGAAGTGGATGGAGTAAAGTGAAGTGAGCCGACTGGCAATGTAGCAAGAGGAAATCAGACGATGCCAGCCAAATATCTGAAACAGCAAAACATTATATATATACCTTAGCTATACAATCTTCTATATAAATAAAATTACAGCTTTGTCTGTACATTGCATGGAATCATGAAGTTTTTATTTTATTTTAATGTTTCATAGCCTAAGAAAGCCGATACGAGTCATCTCAATTTCTGTCTGTTTTTTTGTCTGTCTGTCTGTCATTGTGTCCGTAATTAAATCATTTTCTGTATTCAATGGTTTGATGAGAGTGTCTTTGGCTATTAAATATGGTCTCACTACTTGCAAATAAAATAACAAACCTTGAAAACCCCAATTTTGTGTGATTTGTTTGTAAGTTTTTTCTCCCAATGTTTACTACATCCGTCATTTATGAAATACTAATCATCTGTTTAGAGAATCTTGTCTATGAAATAACAAACAGCTGTATGGATAATGATTATATTTTCTAACTGTCACTGATATGTCTACTAACATTGTTCACAAATACTGCAACTATTTCCAATCGTTTTGTAAGCAAATCCAAAACTAAGTAAGTAACTTAATTAACTATTGACTTACATACCCTAACGGATTCAATTGATAAAATGTTTTAGGGTGTAACTACATTAATAAAAATAAAGAAACCAAATATCATCCAGGTCGGAAACCGGAGATTCTATGTGTATGAAATTGTACTTCAGTTTTGATAACCGGGGGGAAAAACTGTTAATCTGTATTGTTCAAGTACTGGAAAACTTAAATTTTTTTATCATTGGTGCCTATAGCCTACAATCGTGGTTTTTACTCATTAAAGGCGTTTTGATGGCTGTTGTTTCAAGTAAAAATAAAACTACAGTGATCTTTGTGATTTCGTTGTCATCGTAACAAAGATTTATGGATGTGCTATACTCGCTTTTACATTGTGTCCCTTTCGGTTTTGACTCACTGATATTGCGCTGCCATTACTGGGCTGTACCGCCAATAGGTCTATGGTCCATCTCCTATTGGGTACGTAAGCCTACCCATTTATCCATACCACATTTCGACGTTGATTCTCGGTAACGGTAACGGTACCTATCCCAAGAACCAGTGTTAGCGACAATCACTTTTAAAACACACTTAACATATATCACTACTTACATCTTAGTTGTCATTGGTGCTGCATCATTCTTAACAGTCATGTTAAAATTTAATGTTTTTTTCCTACCGTTTACGATTATTAAGGAAACTGAACACTTTAACACATTTGAGTGAAACATTTTTCAAGCATACACTCATGAATTGTTTTCGCTTTACCTACGTTGTTTTTGTTTAGGTATCAATAGTAGATAGCCTATTGTTCTTTACCTCAACTTTTAATCAAAATCACTTATGGTAATTCGTTTAATTTATACTATACAGTCATTCAAAACTGGGCCCGATCATTTAGGGTCATCTTTATGACTAAGCAAATATAAGTTTTATTACCAACAGCATAATCACTCCACGATAAGTCGATAAGTAAATACGATACAAAATAACACCAATACTATTTCAAAATTTTACTATATCTGATCATTGTTTTGGTTTAATGTGATAAATTTTCAACTCAATTCTGTAGGCTATTTTATACATAAATAAAATTAAATTTTAGTCTGTACATTGTGTGGTATCATCAAGTTTTTGGTTATTTTTATGTTTCAAGGCCCAAGAGAGCTGAACGAGTCTTATCTCGATTTCTGTCCTTCTGTTTGTCTAACATTGTTTCTTTGACAGTGAAATGACAATTTACGCAGCCTACTCCGAGAAAGCTAGATTTCCGATCAAGATTGAAACCATTTTACTGTATTCACTGGATTGGTGAGAATGTCTTTAACTATTAATGTATCACGACCGTCGATAGTTTTCGTGACAATAATAATTAGGAATGAACTAAATTAGTATCATTTTATTTAAACATGTATTTTGTAAGAAGTCTCTAACAATATTAATATTTGTTTACAACTCATCATTATAATCTAAATAAAACACATGTTTTATTTTGCAGTCTTTATCAAACATCCCTCTCCTTAAAGAACGAGTCTCCTTGGAGGATGTACTTCACGCCCGTGTCTAGTCTTGTACCTTGAGTTGTCCTCTCGTAGTTTTGGACTTCTGGTACAGACACTTGTTGAATTTCGTTCTGTCACATTGTCTGGTGAGGGTGTACTTTTTAAGTCATAGGGAAATGGTTTCTTCTTAGGTCTTTTGTATCAGTCCTGACAATATATGATCGTGGCTCAGTTACTGTTTTTACAACCATTCCAGGTTTTCCTATGTCAGATATCCAAACACTGTCTCCAGATTTCAAACTTCCAAGAGATTTGGCACCATGCCTGGAGACATAATTTCTATGGAAACTTTTCCCTATAGATCCTCGAAGTCGAAGGCACAATTCGGAAAACTTGTAGAAGGTTAAGTTTTTCAATGGCTGTTTTACCTAGAAGTGGTGTTTTATATTTTTCTGCTACATAAAAACGCTCGAAACAAGATTTGTTCTTATAGTCCAACCTTACATTTACCGTCCCGCCTACAGCTAACTGAGTCCCATCCGGTCCTGAGAGTCTTTACAAGTGTTGCAATGGAACTTTTTTGTTTAGCTTGATATTAGCTGGCAAAACTGAAAGGTCTGCTCCAGTATCGATTTTAAACTTAATAATGTCAGAATCATTAAACCTGAGGTGAATTTCCCAAGATTCGGGGTTTAGAGCACTGTTTTCGGTAATTTTACCTATGAACTCTTCAGAATTTGGTGAATGTGTACATATTAACAAATATATTAACAAACTGAGGTTCACTACTGACTTCATTAACCTTTTGCTTAGAACAAACTTTAGCAAAGTGACCGTTTGCTTTACAGTTGTTACACCGAACATTTTTGGCAGGACACAAGCCTCGGCGATGGGATGGAGGATTCCCACACCATTTACATTGGTTTCCTGGATTGTATTTTCCATGGTTATCAGAAACAGTTTTCTTACAGAAAGACTTCTTGGGAGTGGTGTTAAATTTTACCCGATCAACGGAGGGATCAGCTAGGTCAAGTTTTTGCCTAACTAATGCCTCTGAACTACGAAGAGCATCAACTGCAGTTTCTAATTTTAGTGAGCTTTGTAACTGTAAGCGATCACTAAGGTTTTGATCATTCATTTCAACGATAAGCTGCATGAGAATCCCTTAAATCTCCCCAGTTGCATGGTTTTGCAAGAGTATGTAAGTCCTTGATGAAGTTTTCAGCAGACTCTGAGGATCCCTGTTTTCGTCTAAGAAATTTAGCACGCTGATATATGATGTTTGTTTTGGGAACGGAATGGTTTTCCCCTAATCACTTCATAATTTTCCAACTCGTCAGGGCTTAGATTAAAGGAATCTAATATTTCCTCATCCTTATCCCCCATACAGTAGCAAAGAATGTCAACTTGCCTTTTTCCAGGTGCTTTATGTAGATCGCTGACTGACCTGTACCTTTCAAATCGTTTCTTCCACGCACTCCAATCATAGGGGTTGAAGGAAAATTTGTCTAGAGGCTTGACATGGATTTGATTTCTTTGAAGTCTGTTCTTTTCAATTTCCTGTTGGATCTGTAGGTTTACATCACGCTGCGCCATGTATCACGACTGTTGATAGTTGTGACAATAATTTAATCAGGAATGAACTAAATTAAATAAGACTTTATTTAAACATGTCTTTTGTAAGAAGTCTCTAACAATAATAATATTTGTTTTCACCACACTAATGATGTTTTTGGCTGTATTACATACGTTAATTGGTGGCTGAATGTTACGTTTTGCTGGCCATGCCAGCTGTCATCGTAATTTGGGGACCGAGGAGGTTTTTACAGCCCGGGGCCGCAAAATCAGCTGTCCGCTTACTTACTTAAAACAAGAATGCGTTTTAAATACACAATCAAAATCCATAGCATTGCAATAGAATTGTGTTATTGTCACCATGGCCTAGCAACTATTTATTTTTATTTTTGCTGATTCCTCAAATAATTTCTTCACATAACCTTAAAGTTGTAGTTGTGTTGACTATCAGTGTGCATTATTATAGTGGTAATAGGGTATATAGTGTGGTGAAAAATAGCGTTCGTACCACGGACCAAAATGGTTTTGCAGCTCTCGATCGATTTAAGTTCTCCACTTTGTCTCGAACTTAGAAACTACTCATTTTCGGCCCTAGGTACGAAATATACTATTACAACTCATCATAATAATCTAAATAAAACACATGTTTTGTTTTGCAGTCTTTATGATACAATTAAAACATTGCCTACCTACTTAGGAAATAGAATTAATTTTGTGAAATAACAAATAGTTGTTTGGATAAAGGTACTTTCTTTAAACTAACACTGATATGTTTACATTAAAAGCTGTTTACAAATAGTTCAATACATGGGAAAGAACTATTATTTCCGATCACGTTTGTTTTGAGAGCCAATCCAAAACCAAGGACAATAACATTGTGACTTGAATAATGCAATTAATTGAGATCAAGATAAATTGGGAAAATTGAGATTCTGCGTGTTTCAAATTTCACTGTGCTTGAATTTTGATAACCGGGAAAAAGACTGTGAATCAGTTGTGTTTAGGACTGAGAAACTTACATTTCTAAATATTCACTTAACAGCCTACAATCCAGGCTTCCATCAATTATAACGGCGTTTTGATGTCATTTTTGTAAAGTAAAAATTTACAACTGCGGTGATCATATATGTTTCTGTCACATTGGGTGATGACATGATGTTGTGACTGTAACAGAGGTTCACAGATCGTGCTAAAATGCTTTCTTAATGTGTCGATTTCGCTTTCGATTCACCAGTATTGCGCTGGCCCATACCTTCAATAAGCCTATGGACCCATCTCCTATCGGTACGCAGGCCTACCCAATTTGTTCGTAACCAAATTTCGACGTTGGTTCTTGGTGGTAGCGTGAATAATTTTTAAGTACAAACTCATCACTATTTACAACTTGTTATCGTTGGTATTGCACCTTTCTTACAGCCATATTAAATTTAT